TTGGTGGTAATGAAATTAACGGGTGCACTAGATGGGCAACTATGAGACGACTCCCCACAACCGGAATGGTTTTACAGGTGGAGGCCACTGACCGTTTTTCCCTACTCCCTCTTTTCTGACATTTTGCTAGGGTCAGTGTCACTACTGGTAGGATGAGGCGATACCTGAACCCTACAGATGTTTCACAGGCAGTCCAACTCCTTCATGGCACATCAATATGTTCCATTGCCAGGTTTGTGGTGTCTCCCAGCACAGTCTCAAGAGCATGGAGGAGAATCCAGGAGACAGGCAATTACTCTAGGCAAGCTGGACAGGGCCGTAGAAGATCCTTAACCCATCAGCAGGACAGGTATCTGCTCCTTTGTGCAGAGAGGAACAGGATGAGCACTGCCAGAGCCTTACAAAATGACCTCCAGCAGGCCACTGGTGTGAATGCCTCAATGACCAAACAATCAGAAACAGACTTCATGAGGGTGGCCTGAGGACCCAATGTTCTCTAGTGGACCTTGTGCTCACTGTCCAGCACCACAGAGCTTGACTGGCATTTGCCAATGAACACCAGAATTGGCAGGTCCACCACTGGCGCCCTGTGCTTTTCACAGATGAGAGCAGGTTCACCCTTCTTCTTTTTGCAATTACCTTTTGAGGCTTTCCCTCCTTATGGAGGGTGTCAATGATGGTTTTCTGCACAACTGTGAGGTCAGCAGTCTTTCCCATGATTATGATTCCTACTGAACCAGACAGAGAGACCATTTAAAGGCTCAGGAACCCTTTGCAGGTGTTATGGCTTAATTAGCTGATTAGAGTGGGACACTTTGAGCGAGAATATTGCACCTTTTCACAATATTCTAATTTTCTGAGATTGGGGATTTGGGGTTTTCATGAGCTGTAAGCCATAATCATCACAATTATTACATGCAAAGCAAGATAGTTCAAAACATGATTTTTCATGAGTCTATCTCATATATTAGTTTCACCTTTTAAGTTGCATTACTGAAATAAATGAACTTTTGCACGATATTCTAATTTTTCGAGTTTCACCTGTATAGTGATACAGAGGCTGTGTCTATGTATCTGTATTGTTGGAGAATGCTGGGATGGTCAAATACTGGTGACCTACTACAGGTGTAGACTGAGGACATATTACATGAGCTCACTGCCGTTTTAAAGTCCCTTTACAATTCAGTGCTCCAACTACTGGCTGCTTGGGCCCAAGAGCCGCATCGTAAGTACCAAAGGGACACACGTGGTCCAAAGGAGTGTAGAACCATATACTATTTTAGTTGATATGGATAAAGGAATAGGGTGAGATTAGTAAATCAAATACGCCGCTGAGGAGGTACCATCCCTGAAATACATGGAACTATACATGGAACAGCAAGGCTCTTGCATTCATCATACATCAGCATCAGAGGTTGGTCATCAGCTCTGAGGAAAGGGATTTGTCCATGAAACGTGTCAGCCATATGACTGCACTGACAGTGAGAACACCTTGCCTGTCGTTGTGGCCATTGTCATTTTTCTATGCTTTTTAGATACATGCTTCGTCTGTGAGTATGTTTTTATTATTCTTTCACTCCTACAATAAACCTTGGATAATGCACTAGGTGTGTGCGCCACCTGTTTTCTCTCCACTGGCTGCTTGGGCCCAAGAGCCGCATCGTAAGTACCAAAGGGACACACGTGGTCCACAGGAGTGTAGAACCATATACTACAAATACACCACCGAGGAGGTACCATCCCTGAAATACATGGAACTATGGAAGAACCATTTCATAGCCGCATTGGGGGTAAAAGCGATTTTTATAGGATTTTAATTGTACCTTGGGGAGCCAATTAACAACCATTAAAAATGAAACCAGTATTTATATGCTAGATTTGACTTTTAATATGTATAAAATAATCATCCAGGGAAAGAACCTGAGACATAACAATCCCATAAAAGCAGCACAAAATATTGACACGTTTTGCAGTAGTCGCTTCCTCAGGATAGACACTGCATTGAAAGTGTAGATGTCATCCAATGAAAGTATATAACAGGGTATATAACCCAACAGTCAAATCTGCTTAAAAACACAATCTACAAGATAGATGGTACTGCAATGGGCCACAAGATAGATAGGATTCTAAGTTGCTGGATAAAAGGGGAAGGTGAGAGATTTCCGAACTAAACCAACATCAGTCCTTTACTATAGGAGAAACTCTAAACAAGACTCTGCAAGAAAAGAGATGAACTGCCCCAAAAAAGAGCACTGAATGTAGGGGGGCCAAATGGAGAACCTGGACAAGGTAAAACCCTGTTGTGGCGGCAATAGAAGGAAGGACGCTGCTTGAAACAACCCTAAAATTATGGCGCTGGCCTCAGCCGTTGCTCTGGCCATGCCCACTGACATGTTTCGCCCTGCCCACCGGGGGTTTGGTCATAGTCCCTGTTATGGCAGCGTTACTATTTCGGTTGGTGATGTGTTGGTCTGTGCATCTTTGTATCTTCATACATAGAAATAGTAATTCGTTGTATGTGTACTTTTTAATATGTGTGGGTTGTTTTTTTTTTTCCTTTTAAATCGTTTCTTGTCTTTTCGTCAATACCTTTTTGGAGATGTTTCATGCTCACTTCGGGATGCCTAAACACTTGCTGAACAATAAAGCATGGAGCTTCCTTGTAAGGCATTAATATATAAACGTGCTCAGCTGAAAAAAAAATAGTTTTTCAGAAATCCTTTTGATTTGTATGCATTAGGTACACTCACCTGCAGAAAGATGCATTGGATCTATTGTTGTTAACAAGTAAACTGTAGAAGAGAGAAACTGTCATTGCTACTTGCAACCAGAACCCAGCAATGACTGTTTTAATGAAGATTAGATACAGTTGTCTGCTTTGCGTACCCATACACCTTTTTTCCTTCCAGTTATTTTATAATTGGCCTTGGTTTATGGGGTTTACAGATAGAGCCACTGTAATCATAAACCCTTTCTAGGAAATGGAATGCTTTTGTAATCCTTTATAAGCTGTGGGGGAGATTGACTGACAGCGCTGTTAGGATGTTTTTGTAACAACAAGCCTTCATAGCAAAAGCCGTGCTAAAATACATATCAAATACACTGCCATGTGAAACCGCAAAAGAGCTTCGATCATTGACAGCTGTCAGTGGTGGTTAATTCCTGATCTGCAGATTAAATCCTGGCTCAAAAAGGATTCCAGGTATGATTTTTTTTTTTTTTTTTTTTTTTTTTTTTAAGACAGTTACATTGATCCAGCTTGGCAGTGATGTCGTGTTCTCCACCTCCTCCAATCAGAGACCCTTTGCATTAATTCAGAAAATACGAAGCATTCTCTGAATGGTGTCTTTCCCAAGCTACCGACCTCCTGTGTTTACAATGCATCAGGCTGGCTGCTCAGCACTGGACCTGGAAGCAAGTAGAGATCACTGGAGTAGCGGTGTTCACTTCAGAGATTTCCAGCTTCCAGAGACATTGACCAGGTATATACTGTATGTGGTCACAAGCTGGATCAATACAACCTTTTATAATATAGCTATATCTGGAATTCACTTTTTTTTTTTTTTTTTTTTTTTTTTTTTTATGCTTAGTATTTGCTGGACCAGGTACGTAGGTAGTGCATTATTTTCACTGAGTTGGCCAACTTGCTTTAAAGTGTTAGTAAAGGCGAATTAAAAAAAAAAAAACATACATGTTATATTCACTGGCTCTGTGCAGTGGTATTGCACAGGGCAGCCCCGATCCTCCTGTTCTCGGGTCCCCAACTGGTGATTCTGGCTCCTCTTCTTTGTGTGTCCCCATAACAAGCTGTTTGCAAGGGGACACATGCTGTGCGATTGCTCCTGACCTGTGTGTCTATGGAGCCATGTTCCATAGACCTACACGATGGGACTTAACCACCCTTACTCTTCACTGCGCATGATTGACAGCAGCAAGCGTCAATGGCTCCTGCTGCTTTTGGAGTCCCTGTGTGAAGAGGAAGCAAGGGGAGAAGAGATGCAGCTGTGCACAGTGGTGATCTTTTTCTGCTTCTCTTCTCTTCATACAGGGAAGGGGGAACACAGGGAACTTAAGGAACCTAACAACCCGGTCACATCGGGTGCGACTTGGCATGCAATTTGCGTGCCATGCGACTTGCAAATTGTATGCCAAGTTGCACCCTATTAGAGCAGTCAGATCGGTGAGGCTCCGACTTGGTCGGAGCCGCACCGATTTCTAAAGTAGTACATGTACTACTTTTGGTGCAATTTGCAGCGACATCTGTGTCAGATGTCTTGCAAATCGCACCTGAAATCAGCATCTCACTCGACTTTGGAATCGTGTGACTTCACTGTAAGTTGCACGATTTCAAAGTCGGGCTTGATGTGACCGGGGGTGGAGGGGATGGTAAGGGCAAGTAGTGCATTAAGGAAAAAAGGTTTTTAGGTTTAGTATCACTTTACAGTGGTTCTACAGGCTCAAGGTCTTTTACCTTCATGCATCCTATGTTATATGTACCAGTGTTATTTGTCTTACAAGTAAACTTTTTATACAGGCTCATGATATAGGTGTCAGCATATTATGGGTGAATTTATCAAGACTGGAGCAGCCAGAATCTGGAGCAGTTGTGCATCCAATCATCTTCTATCTCTTCTCTCCAATGCCTAACTAAACAAGCTGCAGATAGAAGCTGATTGGTTGTCTTGTGTATCTCTCCCCCTTTATCTCTCTTATTGGGGCTAATTTTATTGCAGTAAAACTTTAAAGTTTGGGAAAACGGAGAGAAAGTGTGAGTTATGGCGTGAGACAACCCCAAAGGCCATATTCAGGGATGCTTACACCATTGACCCGGAAGGGCAGTGTGACACATACTTACTGCTGTTTTTTTGGTCCTGCTTTAGTTTGTTGTGTGCTCACATATAATGGTGTAATGTGGACTGTATGTGTAAAGTTGTGGCCATCAGATGGGAAGAAATGCTATGTTGACTTACTATTTCTTATCATCCTCATCCTACATCTAGGCTCAAATGGAAGAATTCAGACAGCTGAAGGATGCCTTGAAGAAAATGCCAAGTTTCAAAGACCCGGGCACACAAAATCAACATTCTCTGCCCTCCTATACACAGGTAAGTGGTGTGTTTGTGTGTTTTTGTTTTATGTTTGGTGTGTTTTTTGTGTTTTTTGTTTTTTTATTGGCTCCACTGGCATCCAGTACAAGGGTTGTTATACATGTATAATGGATCAGAAGAGGAATCAGAACTGACCTTGTAAAAAGAAGAAACCTGCTGTGCTTAAGTGAACAATGGGAATAACTTATAAAAAGAAAAAAAAATCCATGCTATGTGAAGGGTTAAAACTGCTGCATCTAAGTCACGGGCAAGATACAAGACATGCAAATATAATTAAACCTAAGAGCATTGTGCTCAACAATAAATTAAAAAAATAAAAAAAAAAAAAATATATATATATATATATATATATATATATAATATTTATATTAGCGGCCCACAACACAAAACCAAATAGAAAAGAAAAAGACATACAGGAATGCAAGGAATCTTTATTTGTGAAACTGTACAATGCTTAGCCAAAAAATGATTTTTCGCCGTACAGCTTTATTGACCTAACTTACCTCTAAGGAAGTATATCCCTCATTTGTGCAAGTGGCTGGATCCCATAGACCTCTTCATTGCAGGGATGCCTGTCCTCCTCTTCTTGTCTCTAAACTTCCTGTGTGCAGGATGGGGGTGGGGGGGGGGGTGTTATTGGCTTTGACTATTTGGGCTGAAAGCAATAGAAAATGTTCTGATGCTGACCAAGCTCTCCTGCTTTCTCATCCATTGAGAGAATTTCTATCATTTCTTTCACTTCATGTAACACCATTTGTGAATGGGCGGGGGGGGGGGGGGGTTTCTAATAAGTCACAGATTGTGTTATAGGCAGTAAAATCAATTAGAGACATTCTCAATAGGGGAGGAGGAGGCAGGCCTTGCCAAGATTTTTTTCTGTTGAATTCAGACCAGCCCAGAGAGACTGGAAGCTATTAACCCCCACAGTGCTGGTAGATCAGGTACAGGAAGAGAACAGAGCATCCCTGAAGTGTAAATTTCTACAGGATTCAGCAGCCTGTATGACATGGGACATATTCTATTGCAGGTAAGTTAGGTCAATAAAGCTGTAGGGCTGAAACTGATTTTTAGCTATACTTCTGATTTAAAGATAGACTCTGCATCAAGATATAGTTCTATCGGTCTACAATTTAGTATTGCATTTAATCTCTTCATATTTCCTATGAATGGCTTCAGTAACTGGCAAAATATTTGCACACTTGGTAAGTTAAGAGACAAATCATGCAATGCTGATGTGTATGTAAGAGAAAGTGTGGTCATGTTTTATTGCCACGGAGGATATCTGTTGGTAGAACACATATCCTTTTTTTTTTTTTTTTCAGGGCATAAGTGAAGAAATAGAAAAAAAAATGCATATGAATAAGCAAGGAAACGTTATTTGTGAAACTGTACTGTCTCTTTTACTCAACAGTAGAATTACACATTAATGCAGTTTTTTTTTTTTTTTTTTTTCTTCCTGACGAGTTGTATTCTTATGTGCTGTGGGGTGTTAATATTTTATGAATTCATCTGCAGTGTGGTTGGCTTTGCTCTAGGCTGAAAATCTAGGTTTTATTTGTAATACAGAGACAAGGTGAGCTGGGCTAGAGGCACAATAACAGTTGTGTAGGCCAGATGTGATAGCCAGGGTATCTGTGTCTAAGCTATTCTCTTCACAGTATTCTGCTCTCTAACTCCAGTCTTCTTATTCAGAATCTGAACAAACCTTTGGCTCGGGTGCCCCAGAGCTCCCTGAGAAATGACAGGAGGGAAGACCGTGTCCCTGGAGGGGCAGCCCAACATGTAAAGCAGGCTTCCCAGGCACAGACCACATCACAGAGCGATTCTTTGCTTCATAGTCCCACTGCACATCTGGTAGCCCTGGGACCGGGAGCACACAATAACAGCCACATGGGGAAATTTACCAGGACAGTTAACAGCCTGCAAGGCCACAAGGAGGTAATTTTGGACGTTTCTGTCAATAAATAGTTGTTTCAAGTTATATTCACACATTTCCATTTTAAAACAAATGAAAGTGCCTGGTGGCACCTTAAAGTGGTTGTAAACCTGGAAAGTCCAATCTTAACACTAAATCTAACAAAGAACAAGGGCACAAATCATTTGTGCATAGTATGGCAGGTAGAACAGCAGCCTGTCATCCTTTAATCCTCCCTGCTCTCCTGATTTAAAAAAAAAACATGAAAAAAAAATGGTGGCGCCATGCCCCTTATCCTTTTGACAGCTTGTGTAATTAGACACATGCCTGAGCCTGTGTGAATGGGGTGCGTCTGTTGTGTACCTCGCTGTGACTGAGATTGGAGCAGAGTTTGCTTTCACTTCCCTCTCTCTTCCAGAGATCCAAGTACAAAGCTCACTGAGTCAGCGGAGAATGCAGAGGGAGAGAGATGTCAGAGGGAGACACAGCAGCAGTCAGAGAGGGGGAGAGAGATGTCGGAGAGAGAGACATCAGAGGGAGACGCCTCAGAGGGGGGGAGAGAGAGAGACATCAGAGGGAGACTCGTCAGAGAGAGTGAGAGAGATGTCAGAGCAAGACAAATCAGGGAGAGAGACTATGATTAGGTGGGAGGGGAATAGTGTGATTTTTTTTTTTTTTTTTTTTTTTTTTTTTTTAAGGTCTCCCCCCACCCCCCCAAGCTTTGGTGCTATGTCACGCCCACAGATTGGTAGATTTCTGAGGATAAGCATGAATTTTTGAGAGGTATACGCAATGTGAATTTGGTTATAATAACATTATCTACCAAACTGTTCAAAAGAATGCTGTTTTGGGGTTACAACCACTTTTAAAAATGTATTCTGCCACAAGGTCAGAAATGCACAATTGTCTACAAAGTATATATATTAAAATATATGCTGATGGGAGGGTGCTCGGGCACCACTTCTCTCAATATAGCCTAATTGGACTTTTGAGGTGCCAACAAAAAATCTACAAATGTATAAAATTGATTTAGAATGTCTATTTTTAGGTAGGTACAGAAAAATGTAATATATTCACAATGTAGGTAAGTAATTTCTTCAATGCGTTTCACAATGAGCTTAATCCGGAAGATTGCTACTTCGTATCAATCTGTGATATGAAAAATAGAGTAATCATTATGTAAATAGATTGATCTAATGTATCCACCAATAGCATGAAAGCCACTCACGTGCTGAGTCTAACCACATGCTATAGTATTAACGGCACTAAAGAGACCTGGTCATCTGGCTCATGTGGGACAGGGTGACAGTGTTTCTGGAAAGGTCCCCCCCGAAACCCTTATACTCATTTTATGTGGCTTCACGCAGCTCCTGCCCTTAGATTAGTTGTTGACATCACTCCCCATGCAATGTGCCAATGCATGGGCCTAGCAGTTTGACTGCCAAGCCCAGGCAATGCCCAAGGGAGCAGGTCACATGCTTTGCCATACCAGAAATGCTGGGTGTTCTTCTTGTTGGCTGTTGAGGAGTTATGAACTGTGAGGGAGAGCAGGTGAGGGGAGTAAATGGGGGGGGGGGGGGGGGGATGATTAAGTGAATAGGAGTCAGTCACCTGAACTCCACAATTTTGGAGGGATGTCCGCTGTATAAATGTTTGGGGTGTGTATGTGTGGAGCCTCCCTTCAGGGCTTGAGCAGTGGTTGTTAGAATCACGATGTAATGCTTCAGAGGTCTTTTGCTAAGGCTTGATAAAGACTGACATTTCCTAACAGCACTAAGGGCTCTGCTGGCCATTCTCTAAAGCAGGCCATACATGGGTCAAATTCCAACCGTTTTTTTGATCGAAAACATCATTCGTTCTGTAATCCGATGGTGCCACCGATGATTTCGAAAATCTGTAGTTTTTCACAAATTTTCCAGCATGCCTGATAAATGAAATGGAGAGGAACCATGAAAATCATAGCCATTGCCCCACTAACAGAGCGAAAATTGGCCGATTTTATTCTTAGGGTCTGATTTTCGAACCATGTATGACCATTCTCTAAGGCTTGATAAAGACTAGCGACTCCTATTGGCATGATTTGCGGATGGCTAAGCTCTTAGTGCTGTTAGGAGATGCTGGTTCTTTGACAAGCCTTAATAAAGGGCCTCTAGTGCATTCCAGCATGAGTCTAATGACCTCAGTGCTTTAAAGCATAACTAAAGGGTAAACTTTTTTGAGTTTGAGTAGAGAGGGATTAGAACCTCAGTCAGTTTTTACCTCTGTCTATGTCCCCGTTAAGAGATTCATCCTCTTTGTCCTGTAACATTATTTTTTGAAAGTGGAAGTAAAATAAAATTTTGGGTTGTCCCCAGAAAAGTAATAGAGGGGAAATCTTCCAATGGGAACACTAGTTTGGTTGTGGGACAAGAAGTGAGAGGAAATCTCTGCAATGGCACACATATGGCAGAAAAAAAAAATCTGAAGGGTTACAACCAGTGCTTGCTCTATCCAAAATGAAAAATGTTCTACTTTAAGCCTTAAAGTGGAGCTCCACCCAAAAGGGGAAGTTCTGCTTTAAGGCTTCATCCATCCTTCGCTCACCGTTAAGGAATGGCATCTTTGGGGAGTGTGGGGGGGTATCCAAATTTGATAGGTACCCACTCTTACTGCGATAACCTAGGCGATCAGAAGTGGAAGTTGCCCTCCCCTCCCTGTAGTCTTCTGGGACACGTGACCGGTCCCAGAAGACTATGGGGCCATTCACAAAGCGCAGTGCTTCTCGCGCATGTACAGAGGGCACCCAGCTGTGAAGCCCCAAACTGTCACAGCTGGGTGCCCACACTGAAGATGCGGGCGCCAGAGAGAAGATGGCCAGTGAAACCAGCAGTGGTGAGGACACCCCTGGACCAAGGGACAGGTAAGTGTCTGTATTTTAAAAGTCAGCAGCTACAGTATTTGTAGCTGCTGACTTATTTTTTTAAAAAAATTTTCAGGTGGAACTCCACTTTAAAAAGGGGAAAGCCTCTCCCCCTGAAACATGTTGGCTGCACTTGATGCTCTTTTGAGCATTTTAACTCCAAGCTAAGAGGACAATTTTGGTTGGTCTTAAAAGTAAACCTTTGCTTTTGCCTTGAAGTGCAAAGCAAAAGCAGTGCAGCATGAGGGGATGAAAGACGTCACACACTACTAGCTCAACAGGTGAAGAGATGTGAACTGCGTCAGCCATGAGCTCATTGGTGAGGCCATTCTCATTTCTCTTCATCTGTTGAGCTAGTGGTGTTCCGCGTCTCTCATCCCCTCATACTTCACTGCACTGCTTTCTGGATGAAGCATAACACAGCATGCATCCTTACATTGTTGTAATGCACCTGGACCTGGTTTTTTATTTTTCCTTTTTTTCTTTAGAGCACCTTGAGCAGCACTAGAAGTGGTATAGGGTATTGCGTGTAAAGCAAAAGTACCATGGAAACAACCATGGCCCCGTAGGAAGTTTACAATTACCCTTCCCTCAACTTCATTGCAGCTCTGTGGTCACCGGGACCATGCAGACAAAAAAAAAAAACTCGTCATCCCATGTTAGAGCATTGTATCCGTAAATGGAGAAAGGGGGGAGAGATTGAGGGGTGCTCACATGGCACATGGTGCGAACCAATACCCCCTAAGTATTGTGTGCTTTTGGGGTTTTTTTCCTCTTGGGTGGGGTGGGGGAGAAAAGGGAGGGTAAACATAAGCTGCTGGTAGGGCTGCAGTTATTTATTTATTATGCAGGATTTATATAGCGCTAACAGTTTGCTCAGCGCTTTACAATTCACAAGCTTTACAATATAACGGGAGACAATACAGTTCAATACAAGAGGGTTAGGAGGGTCCTTGGAGCTTACAATCTAAGAGGGAGGGGCTAGTGAACCTGTTGCTGTGCCTTGCATGGTCACTGCACAGGTTCATTAAGTCATTCTATCCACTGACAAAAGCCAGGCTTATCTGAATGTGGCTTATGTGCGGATAAAGGTTGTGGACATATGTCATAGACTATTAGCTGCTGTGCAGAAAGCTAGTTGTATTTCAGCTTCAGCGCCGACTTCCCGCTGCTTTTACATTTTGCAGGATGAGAAGCCAGCTGTGTCGCCACATGTCCAGCAGCCACCCCAGCACCCAGCCGTTCACAGAGGAGCCCTGCCTGACCTGCCAAGAGCTCTGGGAAGAAAAACGCCCACCGCGAATGTTCTAGCTGCCAAAGAACAAGTGCCGGTTCACAGGTGTGTGGTTAAGAGCGGCATTATTATTATTTTTCTTTCTTCTTTCTCTCCCTGTGCCTAATCCTTTATCCTTATTGCTGTGACTCAAGTCTGCATGCTGATTAATCCCTTTCTAGTCTACTTTATCACATATTAAATTGATTTGTGATTTTACCAACTCTGAAACACCCAGCAGCAAACTTGACTGCTTTAATAGCCTTTGTTCCCTTGCAGTATAGCAGACCATGAATAACCTGTGACAGTGGTTCTCTGGTGGGTTCCCCAGACTTCATATTCATTCACACCTGCTTCTACATTGGTAGCTGTTGTGGGTATGGTTAAGGCTTTATTCTTTTTTCCTTACCCCAAATCTTCTGTGTGGATTGAGCTGCAATTGTGTCTATGGTGCAGCTGCACTCCATATCTTACAGCAGGTGGTGGGTTTGATGGCTCAAGGCCTTCAGGTATTAGTAAAGATAACTGGGAACTCTGGGGATTTTCCACAGACCACGATCAACTACTGGAATAGCTCTTTTCACTCCGCATTGTGTCACTCGTGACTCCCATCTTCACTTGCCGTAAGGCAGACTTCCACTTCTGCTACATCCCTGTCTTTATTACAACCTACAAAGACACCCACATAGTGTTGGTTTTGATTTAGTACAGGTGCTCTTTAACTATTCCTCAAAGGCCCCATATATCCATATAAACCAAAGATTAAACACTTCCCGTCCAGCCCATGTACATAAACAGCCGGACGGGAGCAGTGCAGGAGTGGGTGGCCATTTATAAACATCCTCCACGCTTCCATGCTTGTGTGCGCTCCCTGGGAGCACATGGCACTGCGATCTGGTGCCCGCTGTGTCCTCTGGGCACAGCAGAACACCAATCACTGTATGGGAGCTCTGTGTGAGGTCCCGATCATGTAATCACTGATTGGCCAATCAGTGATCACAGGAATAGTAGTAAGCAAGATGTTACTTCTGACATCATTGCAAACTATGTGTGTAATCTGTGAATGATCACATGGTACAAGGCTAGTCACAACAGCCTTGTACCATGTGACAAGCTGTGACCAATCACACCTCGTACAATATTTCTCAATGGCTGCTTGAATGCAGCCAGAGAGAAGCAGAAATGATTGTTTTTTCAGCCTTTATGGGTGTAAAAGCAGTCAGTGTAAAAAAAAAAAAAAAAAAAAATCTTCAATACCCCCTACAAGTAGTACAGTGTCACTATGGTGACACTGTACTGCTAGGGTGACAGTATGTCTAAAAAAAACCCCATAAATTTCAAAGAAATTGTGAAAAATCATAATTTTTGGTTATAAACTAATTTGTGTTTAAATGCACGCCGTGTACATGAGTTTGATCTGGTCTTTCAATCCCCTGTACAGCAGAGCTCAGTGACGGGAAGGAGAAGCAGCACAAGGAGCCAATCTGTTCAGCTGCAAGAGCAGACAAATAAGACGAGAGAGAAGAGTGAGGGAGAGATGAGCTCTTCAATGTGCCATTTCTACTTTCACTGTCCAAACACAGGCAGGGGGTGGGGGAGAGGATATAAAAGTGAATATGCAGCCAAGGAAAATCCTGTCCCTATAGGTTGTGCTGTATGGCAGGATTGTGTAAATATGAGGATCGGACAGACCGGAATGCAAATGATTGATTTAGCAGGTAAAACAACTCTCTGTATGCGTGTCATCTTTTTTGCTTATAAGTTTTCCCTAAGTTTAGCTTTAAACTAAGCCCAGCCCACTTGACTAGCCTTTGCTGTATGACCAGTCCTTTGCTGTGTGACCAGTCCTTTGCTGTGTGACCAGTCCTTTGCTGTGTGACCAGTCCTTTGCTGTGTGACCAGTCCTTTGCTGTGTATGACCAGTCCTTTATTGTACCTTTCCAGACCCTTCTGAAGTTCACTGGTCCATCTGTCTCCCTTTTGGTGATCTGAGGACTCCTACATGTGTTGCAGAAGAGGAGCTCCCAAAACACCAATTATATGTTGTTGCCTGTCAATTAAAAAAAAAAAAAAAAGTTTTTAGTTTTCTATCTGTTAAACTAGAATGTACACTCCCAGTGACCCAGTGAGGCGCTTACTGTATTCTGGTCTCAGTGGATTACTTAAATCAAATTGCCAGAAATTATTTTGGGGCTTTTAAATTCAGCACTAGGGATAAATAACTATGACAACAGTGGATAAAAATGTCACCAGTTTTATTGGTTAAAAAGAAAAAAAAAAAACCCTGTTGGTAATATCTGAAAGAACTACAGATTATACTTTTTATGATACATTGCACATAATCTTACATGTCATCTACTGACTTGTCTAGTTATTCTTTTTGCCTGCATATACAGTGCTGCGAAAGTTTTACCCCCTTCCTGATTTTTTTTTTTTTTTTTTTTGCATATTTGTCAAACTTAAATGATTCAGATTATCAAAAAATTTTAATATTACACAAAGATAACCTGAGTAAATACAAAATGCAGTTTTTAAATGATTTCCTTTTATTAAGGGGAAAAAAGTCCAAACCTGTCTGGCCCCATGTGAAAAAGTAACTGCCCCCCTAAACCTAATAGCTGGTTGTGTCACCCTTGGCGGCAACAGTTGCAATCAAGTGTTTGTGATAACTGGCAATGACTCTTTCACATTGCTGATGAGGAATTTTGGCCCACTCTTTGCAGAATTGATTTCATTCAGCCGCATTCGACGGTTTTCGAGCATGAATGGCCTGTTTAGGTCACAGCATCTGAATTGGATTTAAGTCTGGACTTTGACTAGGCCACTCCAAATGGTGTGTTTCTTGTGACCTTTTAGAGTGCTTGACTTTGTCAGACAGCTTTTATTCAAGTGATTTCTTGATTCAACAGGTCTGGCAGTAATCAGGCCTGGGTGTGGCAAGTGAAATTTAACTCGAGCTTTCCAAAAATCAGTGGTTAATCAGTCCATTCATGATTCAACAAGGATGGGGGGGGGGGGTGGAGTGCGACATTTACTTTTTCACGTAGGGCCGGGCACATTTGGACAGCTTTTTTAATATATGAAATCATCATTTTAAAAACTGCATTTTGTATTTACTCAGGTTATCTTTTGTGTAATATTAAAATTTGATGATCTGAATCATTTTAAGTTTTACAAATATGCAAAAAAAAAACCCAGGAAAGGGGCAATTTAATTTTTTTTTTTTTTATTATTTTTTTTTTTAGCAGCGCTGTACATCCCGGAAGTATGTTAATAGTGGCTTGGCTTTTTTTCTGGAAAGTTGTTATAGTTGACGCATGGATATCTCTAATTTGTTGCATATATGATAAGAAGTGCAAGAGAAATGGTTATTACTGTCCCCCACCAAACTATCCAGTGTCCTCCTTGATTCTGCACAAATTCAGTGTCAGTAGATGGTTTTCCTGCCCAAAATTGTTCTTTGTGCTCTAAAAGTAGATACGAGTTTGGGAACAGCATAAAAGTGTGGGCCACAGTGGAACAGTCTGTAGTTCTTCATTGTTATCTTTGTGATCTCTTTTCACAAATTCAAATGGGTAAACCTGTAGGTGATATGAAGTGTAAGGGAGTTTTCTGGAGGGAAAACTGAAAGATTTAGAGATCTAAGCAGATTTGAAGTTATAACTATTGCCAAAAAGGTAAAACTCACAAATGGTAAAGCTTCATCACTAATGAATAAAAATGCATCTTTTTAAAGTGGACCTTACAGTAAAATGCAAAGTCCCCTGAACTTGCCTGGGTCCTCCCCTCCTACAAATCACCTAGCGTTGGTAAGTTTAACCTGAGATTTGTACTTGGCTTACCCCTACTTTTTGTATCTCTGGGCATGACATCAGGATTTCTGGATAATTCAGAGCAGACAAAATCTTGCCAGAAGACCTTCCAGTCCAATGCAAGAGCATCTTTTTGCAAGATTTTAGCAGGTCTGAATTCCTCAGGACCAAGACCTTGCATTTTCCTTGCCTATGCACCACTGGCAGAATGCAGTGGTGCTGCAAATATACATTTTACACTGACTAATGATGGATTGTGAAGGGGGAGGTGGCCCAGGCAATGGCACTTTTTAGTTCTCAAGGTTCTTTAATTTACAGTCAGGTCCATAAATATTGGGACATCGACACAATTCTAACATTTTTGGCTCTATACACCACCACAATGGATTTGAAATGAAACGAACAAGATGTGCTTTAACTGCAGACTGTCAGCTTTAATTTGAGGGTATTTACATCCAAATCAGGTGAACGGTGTAGGAATTTACAACAGCTTGCATATGTGCCTCCCACTTGTTCTTGGGGCATTTTCCCTTCAGTTTTGTCTTCAGCAAGTGAAATGCATGCTCAATCGGATTCAGGTCAGGTGATTGACTTGGCCATTGCATAACATTCCACTTCTTTCCCTTAAACTCTTTGGTTGCTTTTGCAGTATGCTTTGGGTCATTATCCATCTGCACTGTGAAGCGGCGTCCAATGAGTTCTGAAGCATTTGGCTGAATATAAGCAGATAATATTGCCCGAAACACTTCAGAATTCATCCTGCTGCTTTTGTCAGCAGTCACATCATCAATAAATACAAGAGAACCAGTTCCATTGGCAGCCATACATGCCCACGCCATGACACTACCACCACCATGCTTCACTGATGAGGTGGTATGCTTAGGATCATGAGCAGTTCCTTTCCTTCTCCATACTCTTCTCTTCTCATCACTCTGGTACAAGTTGATCTTGGTCTCATCTGTCCATAGGATGTTGTTCCAGAACTGTGAAGGCTTTTTTAGATATCGTTTGGCAAACTCTAATCTGGCCTTCCTGTTTTTGAGGCTCACCAATGGTTTACATCTTGTGGTGAACCCTCTGTATTCACTCTGGTGAAGTCTTCTCTTGATTGTTGACTTTGACACACATACACCTACCTCCTGGAGAGTGTTCTTGATCTGGCCAACTGTTGTGAAGGGTGTTTTCTTCACCAGGGAAAGAATTCTTCGGTCATCCACCACAGTTGTTTTCCGTGGTCTTCCGGGTCTTTTGGTGTTGCTGAGCTCACCGGTGCGTTCCTTCTTTTTAAGAATGTCCAAACAGTTATTTTGACCACGCCTAATGTTTTTGCTATCTGTTTGATGGGTTTGTTTTGTTTTTTCAGCCAAATGATGGCTTGCTTCACTGATGGTGACAGCTCTTTGTATCTCATCTTGAGAATTGACAGCAACAGATTCCAAATGCAAATAGCACACTTGAAATGAACTCTGGACCTATTATCTGCTCATTGTAATTGGGATAATGAGGGAATAACACACACCTGGCCATGAAACAGCTGAGAAGCCAATTGTCCCATTATTTTTGGTCCCTTAACAAGTGGGAGGCACATATGCAAACTGTTGTAATTCCTACACTGTTCACCTGATTTGGATGTAAATACCCTCAAATTAAAGCTGACAGTCTGCAGTTAAAGCACATCTTGTTTGTTTCATTTCAAATCCATTGTGGTGGTGTCTAAATGTTAGAATTGTGTTGATGTCCCAATATTTATGGACCTGACTGTATATAATAAATGTCAATCAATGGGCCAACTACTTGCAAGGGGAATACACATTTTTTGCCTGAAGTGAATTCACTGGAGCTTTGTCACCTTCTGTATCTGTGACTTTAGGTATTCTGTGGAAGATGGGTTATCCTCACCATCGCCACTGATGACCCTTCCTGCCAGGAGCAGGACTCCTAACCAAAGGGTTATCTATCTTGCATCTAGAAGTGACAATGGAGTTCTCTAGGGTTCCTCTAGCAGACTGAACTCCTTAGCACCTACATTTTTTTTTTTTTAAGGCTCTCTTTCTGTCATAATATAGGCAAAATGGAAATTTCATAGGAAAGGCAAAATATGCAGGATGGCATTTTACAGCAGAGTGGATCAGTTTTTGAGAAGATTGCTTGACAATTGCTTTTAACTTGCCGTCATACTCAAATGTTTTTAACATAAAAATCAAAGCATACTCATTTAAAAGACAAGTTCACAAATGACAAACCGCTCTTCATATTTGCATTGGCATCCCAGAGACTTGTAGAGATGGACCAGTATTGCAGGAGCAACGTACCATTCAAGTGTACTTGATATTAGTGTGCGGGCAGCGGTACCACGGGCAATGTATTTTTATCAGCTGAAATGTGAGCACCTGCATGGGATGCTACAGCTTGGGGTAGTTGGAAGGCATAGGGGGTGTTTCTACATATGGTATCCTTCAGTGCTGATTCACACATGTGTGGATTGAAGTTCAGCTCTCACAGCTAATAGTTACAGTAATTGTTCAGCAGTTCAGGCCAGGTTTACATCAGGTTCAGGTTCAGGTCAGTATTTTATCCTGTTCACACATGTGCGGTTTAGAAACTGTTCCCATAGAAGTCAATAGCCTGTAATCCTCACCTGAACCAGACTGCACTGCTCAGAAATTGGACAGGACTCTTTTTCAATCCGCACTGCCAGTGCATCGGACATATGTGAATAGACACCCTAGCAAGCAATGTTATTTCATGTGTCCTGTGGATTGGATGCGGTTTAAACCACATTCAATCTGCATATATGTGAACCGGCACTGAAAAAATAAAAGGTGTTTAAAGCATAACTAAAGCCAAGAAGTGGATGTGGTGTCTGCATTAGTTTTTCATTTTTTTTTTCAGGCTAAGATTATTTCGGCAAGTACAGAAAATACCTGATTTTGCTGGAAGTACAATGTCCTGGTAACTTCCTGTGAGCTGCACCGAAGAAGAAAAATCTCATATAAACTAGTAATCCCAAAAGCCATCATGTAACAAGGCAGACATGCTTGTGGCCCAGCCTGGGTGACAACAATGTCTCTACAAATCAAGTGGGGAAGTCAGTGTAGCCATCCAGCAACAGTGTTATTCCATACCAGGTGAAAATGAAGAAAAAACAATTGAAAAAAAGAAAACAAGTACTATTGCCAGATCTAATCACTTTTAGCTATAATATATTACACTTTTGGGTTTAAAAAAGACAGATCATTGGCCACTGTGATGGCATTAGTATGATGAAGTTATTCTTGTACAGGAGTCTATAGGAAGGATCATATTCTTCTCCTGGCACCCATTTAGGCTTTGCTTAGCCCAGCAATTAGGTGTTTAGTGAGGCATCTCTCTACTAGAAATGATTTGTGGCTTTCTCTGTGGTTTGCCAACCTTCCTCTTAAACATCTGATGAAACCCGCATACCAGTCTTGCTGATGAAGAGTATTGTTACCCTTTGTTTAAGCCTCCAAGCAGTTTGTTGATTGAACTATTTTCAGAGAACAAATCCATAAGCAAGTTTTCCCAGCTGGTAGATCTGTAAAGACCTGTCCTATCACTTTCTTCTGCTGCATGCTGGTGAATTTGTGCCAGGAACTGTAATGAAAGTTGCGTTTTTTTTTCTTGTTATTGTTGACACAGCAGCAGTGTCAAGAAAAGCCTTCATTAAGCCTGTTTTAATTAAGAAGCTTAAGACTGAAGATTGCTATATTTTCCTCAATTAATCGGCATTGGAGAACTTTCAGTCTGGGGTGACTGTAAATGCTTTAAAGCAAACTTTCCATGAGAGAAATATAGGAACTGTCATTAATGATCTCTAAAACCCTAGTTCCTTGGTGTTCTGTACTTTAATGCATTGATTGACGGACCTGGAACAGTAAGGTGATTAGTAAAGTCGGAGAGAAGTCAGAAGTTTTTATGTGCATATGTTTCCAATTTAGCAGTTCAAAGTATTGAAGTAAGCAGGTCAACGTGGCAGGCAGGTAAGAAGCATTTTCAGGAAGATGGAAGTCTACATAAAACTTGCTATGGGTTTGATATTACTTTTCTATGTTGTCCATGCTGATAACTGTTGGCTACTGTATACAAGTTATAGTTGTCAATTCATTAGTTTCCCAACAGAAAGGCACTGAGAACCACATCTACCATCACTTTGTTCATTTGGCCTTCTAGGAGTGTGTCTGAGTGATGATGCTGTTGAATATATAATATAAGTCATTTGTGTTTTTTTTTTTTTCTAAAGATATTCATTGTTAACCGTCAATAACAGAAGGATAAAACTGCAGTACTTTGCATGATCCCATGACCCAAATTGAATTGGCCTACATTTGGACCGCGTGTTCAGCTGTCCTTCCAACAGAAGCTAGTCTAGCGACTGACGTCAATCGAAGGGACATACTGGAAAACCAGTATCCGATCAAGATTAGTGTGTTCTAGTGGGGTTGGCGCGGTGGGCTGGGTTCCCATGTCAGCAAACTCTTCCACTATGCCTTTGTGTTCTGTGTTAACATCACTTAGTACTGCAACCTCTTGGCGTCCAGCGGGCTGAACGAAAATAACTGAATGTGTGTACTAGGCTTAAGATGGAGCCCCCAGTGTTAAGATCTTGGTATGACCTCCAGTTGTAATGCTTGGCACACAAATAAAAATAATGAAACAATGTTTTTACTTGAATTCCTAGCAAATTTTTTTTTAAATAAATCTATCTATCATAATACCTAGTAATGTATTTATAGTATTGGCCAGAAATAACTAATAATGCAAATGGCTACTATCTTTTGAAAAAACTGATTTGTTGACATGACTGCAGAGCCCCATTTTCGATTGCCATTTCCTACGTGTCCTCTATGTAGCGACAGATATCAGAACCTTCAATTTTAAAGCAGCTGTGTTCAGTGAAAAAAAAAAAATCAGTTTAGTAATTAAAATTATATTTGACTTGATATTGACATCTTGATATCCTCAGAAAACTAAGAGACTGGCAGAGATAAGGGCAGCAATTATGGGCCAATTAGGTGTATTGCATTAATATATAATGATGGAGAGTATACTGAGAGCAGAGGAGTGATCATATCAATCTGCTGCTGCTCCTTCAATGTCCACCCACAGGATCAGTAAAAGGAGGTGGTTGAGCCAAATTGCTGAACAGTACAAAAAATCGAGTCACCAGCTTGGCACTCCTGTCAAGCCAGGTTTTGTAAATCTAAGAACTGGATCAACATCGTTTGGAAGACCTATCATTTGGCAGAGTAACTCTTGCAGATGTATGTTAACTTTGTTTTAGCCGTTTGATGTCGTACATCATGTTTAAATATCTGGTTGTGGCAGAAACAACTGAAATGAGTGAAACTGTCTGTGGGGACAAAAAATGACTCTCTCAAGAAATACATCAGTTTGTTTTGCCAACTAAACTGCAATAAAGCTCCAAAGAAAGCGGTGTATAGAGTATTCCGGGAGAATGGGGTGGAAAAGTCAGTTTTTAAGGCCAATGTCACACTTGTGATCCTATTGCTGGTGACCACTACCAACAATGTGGTCACTATGTGGGATGGAGGAGCACAAAAAATATTTACTGGTTTGCACGTTACTCATTCACTTGCTGGGTGAGCAAGGTGCCACTCTCTTGCTGGTGAGTGATGTTCTGCAGGGTTTCCTTTGATGAAGAAGTAATACCTTGTCAATCATGGCAGTAGAGTAATCTGATTGCATAGTACTTTCAATAAGATCATCTGAAACATCCACCTAATAATGCAACTTTTTCCTAAGTTTGTGTCTTTTTTTTTTTTTTTTTTTTTTTTTTGCTCTTTAAACAGCTGGCAGGACATTGTTAGCAAAGTGAATGCAAGGATGACTAAAGAGGAAAGCAATAAAATTGATGGTCTTGTCAAAGCCCAAACACTCCGTGCCAATGTAGCTGTTGGAAAGTGGGAGAATAAGGCAATGCATCATGGCTACCTGAGACGAATTGGCGATAATGAGGCAGAAATGGGTATGTTTCATTGGAACGTCTGTATTTATTTTCCTCCTAATCTATTCCTTAACTTGATGTGAGTTATAAAAGTATGTTCCTAAACATGTTTTTTTTGTGGCTTCTCTGTTTTAACCCAGAGCCCAGCCAATGGCTGTATGTAAAGTGTTAACCACTCCTGCTCTTTCCCTCCTTTTTCTTTACCAGTCAGTGCAGGTACTTCCACAATGATCTTGGTTTGAACTTTCAGCTGGTATTCTTATTTATTATAGGTACTTGTATAGCACCGTCAATTTACACAGCTCTTTACATATATATTGTACATTCACATCAGTCCCTAACCCTCAAAGGGTGTACAATCTAAGGTCCCTAACTTACATTCACACATGCACATACTACAGCCAATTTAGACAGGATCCAATTCACCTACCAGCATGTCTTTGGAGTGTGGGAGGAAACTGGAGTACCAAGAGGAAACCCACGCAGGCACAGGGAGAACATGAAAACTCCAGGCAGGTGGTGCCGTGGTTGGGATTCGAACCAACAACCCTAGTACTGCCAGGCAGAACTGCTAACCGTTTAGCCACTGTGCTTCCCTTATGCAGTTTAACATGCACCTATAGTTATAGTTTACATATGTTCATTTTATGCACTTGTAGCACATTCATATTTCATAAGTGTACATTAAGGCACACAGATGTCGGGTATATAAATGCTGCTGCCTTCAGGAGATTGGCCACTGGCAAACAAAGCTGTAAGATCAACCTAGATTAACCCAAGTGTGTGTGTGGCAAAAAAAGAAAGAAACACACAATGTCCTAGGGGACCAAACAGATTCTCTAACCAGAGATGAGCGAACACTTTTTTTTTTTTTTTTTTTTTACTTTTTTTTTTTTTTTTTTTTTAAGGGTTTTGTTTTTAATTTTTTTTTATTTTTTCGCAATCTTTTTCAGTTGCTGCAGAACCAGTGGTGCTCATTTTGTAGCACTCCAAACTGGCTGATCCCTGGCATGTCCTTGGAGGCCATACCTTGACCTCACTACAAGGTAGAAACAAGGCTAACCTGTATTGTGTCCTGCAGGCACTGGGCTCTGCTCAGACATTCTCCTAGATACATTTGGTGTAATGTGCGAGTTAGCTTTATAGGTCAAGGACCGCTGTGTATCCGTCTGATGGAACAGTGTCTCTTAAGACCCTTTTTTTTAAGTGCCCACTACAAGGTTGAAGACTTTCTGGATTGGATGTGTCCACGGGTTCTCTGCCCTTTTTATTTGTAGGAGCCTGGTGTGTTTTATTGCTCTGGGTAGTCCTCCAAGAGGTTAAGTTTGGAGCACCAGCTGTGACACTGTTGGTCGCGGACCAGCAGAGGGATGAGGTGCCTGCCATGTTTAAAATCTGTGTCCAGTATCCATTACTCCCGCTGCAACCCTACAGAATCAAGTGGCCTCCATTTGGTGCACACATGTGTAGAATGACAACCCATTTTCCAGAGTGTGCTGACTTCTCTGCCTTCCTACCATCTCCCTAGCCAAACTCACACCATAATCCTCCTGGATGGTCTCTTGAGTTCCTTGCTGCTTTTAATATGATCACATGTGTAACATCCGCCTAATAATGCAACCTTTTCTCAAGTTTTGTTTTTTTTGCTTTTTTCTGCTCTGGAACAGCTGGCAAGACATAGTTATGCTTTAATTTCATCAAGGGTCAAATCTCAACCTTAGCTGTTTTTTTTCCAGTGATTACATGCCTCTCCCTCTTGAAGACTGTAATACAGGGTGTTGCTAACATTGTTCCTCCTGTATGTTCCTCTGTTAGTCTGTCAGATGTCAACCTGGTTCTGTCTGTTATCAGAGACAGCCCTTAGAACCTATTAGGCCTCATTCACACACATCTGGCAGTACAAAACACACCTATGAAAAGTGGTTTGCGGTTGGCTTGCTGCTATGCTGCCATCCTGCTGACAGCAGTGGAAGCAAGTGGCACTTCCCAACAAAGGGGATCTGGTGAGTTAAATTTGTTGCCCCATGAAGTATGCGGTCAGCAGCAATGTGTAACTTGAGTGGCCACCATGCAATTTTGTAGATTGTGGGTAAAAACGTGAATCAACCAGGAACAGGAGAGGTTATACTAGGCTGTTTTTACAGCTTTGTCTGCCAGTGTGCAATCTTTAGAGGGCAGCTGCATAACACTATGTAGCTGACTGAAGTACTCATCCTGTCATCCTGTGCCATCTTATTATACTCCAAGAAAAGGATGTAACGGTAAGTCAAAAATTCAGTATAAAGTGTTCCTAAACCCACAACAGTAAAATCAGTCTGTATATGCAGTAAAGCATGCTTGTTATACTCACTGTAGAACCTAAGGGGTTAATCCTCTGCATTGTGTAAAAAGGCTGTTTGATCCTGACTTGTCTGATCCTCTCTTTTTACTGTCTCCAATCCATCTGCTGATAGCACAGAGACTTGGGGGCTCCCTGCACATGTTTTCTGTGTATTGCTAGAGAGGACCAATCAGCACTGTCCAGACAAAGGGTCAAGGGTTATGCAGCCTAATAGAACAATCTGGCGAGAATAAAAACTCCTCCTCCTACAAGCTTTAACCAGTGCTCAGCTGGACACTGATAGAAGTCACAAGACTGCTCTAACTGCTGATGAGAAAAGGTATTTAGCAGTTTTATATTTACTAAGGTAATAGTATTTCCATGTTCTGTGTGCTGTGGGAGACCAGATATAGTGAATGCAGGGTCCTGGGTTTAGTAACACTGTAAATCAAGTAGCTATGCATATGAATATTTTACAGTTGACTAATTGCAGCCTGCAGTGGGTGAACTCAGTGGAAAAGCAGGAGCTCTCGAAGCGTACTTTCTGGAACTTTTATGCTAAAAATAGACAGCTAAATGACTCGGTGGAGGGACTCCTATAACAAACTTTACATGCCGTTGTCCGTCATATAAACGGGCTGCTAAACCGTATGCAGGCAGTGCTAAGCTTTCTAATGGTCCCTTGTCTGGGAGTTTGCGGCGTGCTCAGTCAGATGTGATTGTGTACACACAGCCATTTGATGTGCATCTATTCTTAAAGGAATTTTAATACTAATTTAGTTATATCCATGCATGTGAAGCAGTATAGTGAACATACCCAAGTACTTAAAGCTGTATTCAACCCAAAAGCAAACATTTATTTTATTGCAGCTTACCAATTCTTAGAAGAAAGATGACCTAAAAATAAATAAATAAATAATACTGCCATCACGTCAATTTTTCACCTGCTGATCTGGCAAGTAGGTCTAAGGTTTTTTTAAAAGCATAAGCTCTCTTACAGATGTATCGATTATAGGGATGAGACAAACCATTTACCACCTGACAGGTGCTTACAATGGTCAGCTTTTATTTATGTAAAGTCTTCTAGCAAACAGTTTTTTGTTTTTCTTTTTCTTTTTTTTTGCGACAAACTGGTTTTAAAGGGTTATCTAAAGTTTGTCTTCAGATTGTTAGTGTTTTTAAATCTGCTAATACTTTGAACACTCCCCTTCCCCCTATCTAGACTGACAATCCTGCTGTCCAACGGTGCCACCTGTACTCTTTCATCCAGAATGGGGCACTCTAATATAGGAGGTGTGTTGCTGGCCAGATCACTGGTGAAAATACAGGGAGAAACTCCTGAGAAAGGAAAATTTACTATAACCACCACATTTTAATGATTGGTAAACTGTAGTATATTAAATTTTTGGTTTAATACTGCTTTAACCACTTGACAACCAGGCTATAGCCAAATGATGGCTACAGCACAGTTGTCCAGTTCTGGGAGGGCGTCCTATGATGTCCTCACAGAATGCGTTCCCACTGTTGCGCATACCTGGTGCTGTCTGTGATCACTGTGTCCTACGGATATAGCTGATCACATGACTAGGTAAAAGGCCAATCACAGCCGCCTTTTACCACGTGATCAGCTGTGTCCAGTGACACATCTGATCACAAGGCAAATACAGTTGCCAGGTATCGGCAGCACTTTCTTCACGCTGTCACAGCGTAAGCAATTTACTGCCGATAACTGGCAAGTGTCACAGAGGACATCTGCACTGATAATCAGGGCATTGATTATATCAATGCAGCCCAAAAAGTGCCTTTCAGTGCCTCCTCATAAATTCCCTCCAGTGCCGCCTCATCAGTGCCCATCAATGCTGCCGATCAATGCATCAACGCCCATCAGTGCTGCCTATCAATGCATCAACGCACATCAGTGCTGCCTATCAATGCATCAACGCACATCAGTGAAGGAGAAAATTTACCCGTTTGCAAAATTTCATAATGGAAACAAAAACTTTTTTATTTTATAGTACAAAGAATAAAAAACCCAAAAAGAAAGCTCTACCCATTTTTTAAATACATTTTCCACACATGTACAGTGTTGCATGACCGCGCAATTGTCATTCAAACTGTGCTGAAAGCTGAAAATTAGCCTGGGCAGGAAGGGGGTAAAAGAGCCCAGTAGGCAAGTGGTTAACTTTCATGGTATGTGAATACAAACACCTAGTCCCTATTTACTACCGCCCTCTTTTTTTCTCGAACTTTCTTTTGGAAGGGAGTACACCCGCACCCAGGTTGTGGAGGGCAGCAGCCTGTCGGCTTGGAGGACAGGGTAGTTTGCACCAGCTGTGTATTTTTTATGGATGCATGTCCATGCAAGGGTGGTTCCCTTCAAGGGAAAAGAACCACTTTGAAACCAGATGGCACTGCCAGCACTGAGAGGAATGACTGAAAAGCAGCAAGAATGATGAACTTCTGAACAAGAGGCAGCATGTTTGGTAAATCTTCACCTCAGCAGGTGAATTTTGTGTTTTTGTTTTTTTGTTTGGTTTTTTTGAGCTTGTAATCTCACATTATGTAATAGGTCTTAAAGGGCAGCTCCACCCACATCCAGTTCAGTTTTGGGCAGACACTGGTTTATTGTATCGGCCACTGACTCCAATGTGGAGTAGAGCACGTCTTTTGTTCCATCCTAAGAGGCCATAGAAAAGGTGTT